AACGACGAATGCCGCTGTTCCGGTGAAGCATAGGCCTCAGGCGAGGTTTTAGGACGACGTTGTGTCTCAGAGAGCTTTCAGACTGTTCCATTCTCCCCATAAAACTTGAGACCATAAGAACACCAACTCCAGATACACCGATTGGTGGGGCTTCCTCCGGCAGACGGCCTCGATCGCCCCGGCGACACGCAGTCCCGCTTGTGCTTCCCTCATGCATGTCCTCCTCTGAGCAGTTAGACGACGCAATTCGTGTCGTCTTGGTGACAGTCCAGTAGTTGCCTTGTCTCTAGTCGCCGGGGCGCGAGAACCTCGCGGCAGTACGATCGGGGCGGGGTGTGAAACGGGCTTCGGGCGAGGCTATCCTCCTCTCGGTTGCCTCGACGCATCCTCTGGTCTGAGTCGCGCCAACCGGGCACACTTCTCGGCCTCAGAGACTCGATCCAACCACGCCGTCCGCACGCTTCTTCACTTGACTGACTCGACCCAACCTCCACTCCCACCTCACACCCCCTTCCGGGCCACTTGGAAGCGCTGGTCACAGCCCGTGCCGAAGCGGTTGAGGCCTGCGCTCTGGCCCGTCCGACACGTCGTAGCCTTCCGGACAAACGGTTTTTTTTCCAGCTCTCCTCCCTCATCCCACCAGAGCCACCTGTACCCCCAATTAGACGATTGGCCTGTTGGCTGGCCTACCTGCCCCTCAAAAGTTTATCACACTATGACGAACATGTGGTGGACATGGGCCGCTTGTCTGCGGTTGTGTGCACTTGTTCGTGTGTGTATGTGTGTGTGTGTGTTGACAAATAGTGACTAAGAGATCGGCACACGAGCAGACTTGAATTTGAGTCAGCCGGAGAGTGTTTGTGCGTGTGTATGTGTGAAGGAGAGGGGGTGGTGGTGCTGAATGTAGTTGTGGTCGTGCGTTTCGGATAACAGAGTGGTCCGGCTGAGTGGGAAAACGGGACATAAAATTGCGCTACCACATCGTCGTGCGCGTTGCCAGCGTCTGTCGGTCTGCGGCCACCTCATCCCTGCGGATCGCCGCGTGTCCACTGTCTTCACACTCGTCAGCCTGGCAGCAGGTCGGCCGCAAGGCGAGACCACATGCGTCCCGGTGGAGGATAAGATGGGACAACTGGAAAAAAGCAACTGGTGCTGGGCTGCTCAATAAAATCTTAGCGAAAACACCTCTTCCAAGCGGACGCAGCAGCACGACCAGCTCTCCACCTCACCGGCTTCCCGGGTACAATTGGACAGCCGGACAGCCGGACAGAGAGACGCAACCAGATGAGGCCCTGTCTCTTCATCGCCTGACTGCCCCGTCCTCCACGAAAGACTCGGGCCCAGGTCGGCCTGGGCCGTGGGCATGTCTTCGTGATCCCCGAGAAGCCAATATAATCTCATCTGAGAAGAGTTAAAGATCTGTTGATTGCAGATTGATCAAGTTTCGTCTCGATTTCGCGTCTTGGTCGTGTTTTCGGGGCCATTACGAAGAACGTAGCCCATACAGAATCGTCGTCCAATGTTCACCCGCTAGTCCACCATCGGGAGGTTTACTGAATGTCTTTAGCAAAGTTCCCTCGAAGGCATAAATAACTGTTGGGGAGACTTGCATTTCATGTAAAAAGTGCATGAAGAAGAGATTCGAAGGTCGATCACACCAGAAGACGACCAGCCGTCGATTGGCTTTACTGGAACATTCTTGTTGACTCCGTTTCCGAGGCAATCTCCTTCGATTCCAGTAAAAACTTACGTCGTATGACGGGCATCCTCAAAGCAGAGTATCATCCGAATAACCATATTCAAACCGAAGAGTCAAGATAACTTGTCGCGAAAGCCTAGTCATAAGCGAAAAATGAATACCATACTCGATTGCTGTAGCAAATACAAATTTGCTACATCGAAAATCTACCACAGAATGGAATATATCGAGATTAGACGCTGCAATTGCATGGTTCTAGTCCCGCTGGGGACGTTGATAAGACCTTCAGTCCATCTTAAATGATATTAGCTTTGAGGAAGACAATGCTATATGAAATTTAATGAAAATATAAGTTCTACTCATTTTATTGCGGAAACAATTCAACTTCCATTCAATTGGTCACCTTAAGCAAAATAGGGTGAATGCACTTCATGAATAAATGGCCTACTTATAGACGAAGTAATATCTACTGACATGAATATGCCAAAAGACAGTTCAGGTTGCTAACACGAACTGAAGCCTCGATCTCTTCAACTGATCTGATTTGGATTAAAGAGGAGCAGAAAATTCATTTTGAAAGGCAACCCGGACAAAGTCGCTGAATGAAATGGAAGTGAAACTGATAACTCTCGATAACTGCGAAACATAACAGTTAATAAGGTGAAAACTGGTAGTCTATTGAGGTGAATTGGAAAATAAAATTCGAAAGTTAGTATAAAAATCGAGCCAACTCGATGGCTGATTGTAGACGGAGTTGCAAAGGTCCAACACGAAAGCCAGCCGAAACTGGCACACATCCATATGAATGTGTGTCTACTGTTCACTTATTGATGCATATCAAGGATGTGATTTCTGTCAGTATCACCAATAATCGCTCCATCAAAGGAGACTTAAATGATTCAACGAGTTTGGTGGAAGAGAGTCATCTATTGGCAGAAGCATCCTGTAGTTGGGACTGTTGATTCGAGTGTAGAAGTCCTCGGCGCGTTGTCCTGCAACCCCAATCTATCCATGCTTATCTTACCTCTGTCCATGATCTGCAAAAATCTTCACATAACTCAAGAATGGCCTAAGGATACAATACTGTCGACGTCTCGTAATACAGATCTAGGCCAGATTTAGGATGTTTTATGATGGTTTACCCAATAATTTTTTTTCCATTTCGACCCGTCTTGACGAGACAGACAACTATTTGGAAAGGGTGGTTGATAGAGGTCCGTAAATTAACCATTTCGGAATTCGAATGAAAACACCTTTGAATTCCTCCTGTTGAGTTGAGTGTTAACTCAATGTCCTGGGATTCCGAATTATTGGTTGGCGAGATTTCATCTGTCCCGTAGTGGATGATATAATCAGAGGTCTATCAACGGGAAGCCAACTTATTTTTCATTTTATAAACAGGTTTTCGAGGCTACCAATAGATCATGCACATGAGTGACGTATTCATCCTATTACCTTTAAGGAGATAAAGGAACTAAGTGAGCTTGTCGAAGTGGTACGAAAACAAAATGTGATTGAGGGATTCTGCGAATTCATCTTCTCTTCATAGTTAGGCAGTTGATCAAACACGAAAACTTTTTATAATCTAATTTCGCCATCTTCCTCAGGCAACCCATGAGTTAGAACTGATCTAGCCTCGTTCCAAAACATGTTGTCATGCCGACCCCGAAGAATCTACTCAAATGGAGTTCTCCTCCGGGGTAGTCATGATAATTTCCGACTTCGAATCGATAAAATGGTACATTCCAAGACAAGTGAAGCCTACCCTTGGACCAAATTTCTGCGGAAAGGTTGCCGCATATCTCCCATTTGGGCTTAGATCATGCATTGTACTAATATGTTCTAGCAACGTGGGGCCAACTTATCTTAATTGTGGGAAAATTGTCATCTTATTCAATCAATTATGAGAATTTTAACGATAGGTCTCCAAGCCTGAGCTGAACCAACTATTACATCGATTTGGTGTTCATATCTCGTATTAGACAATGAGCCTTTTAACGCCCGACCTAAGCCGGATGATGCAAATGTCGGGCTATACCCTATTTGACTGTCACAAATTTTGGTCGTTCTAACCTGGACTTGAGCATCCCTCTTGTTTGTAGTTCACCCTAACCGATGTCAGTCCACATACCATCTGGCCCACGACGTCGTGCCAACGTGACGACTACTATACT